TGGTGTTTTTAGCAAACGGCCCATTGTGACCCCCAGATCTTTCCTTTGTGGTATAGAGCTAGTATAGAGCCCTTTGTAGGGTACATAGAGTTTGGGTTATTTTTGCCCATTTATATCACTCATTCACTCAGGGGGTCACATCTAGTCCAACCCCCTGCTCAAAGCAGGACCAGCCACAACTACATCATCCCAGCCAAGGCTTTGTGCTGTACAAATGCAGAGCACACAGCTGATCAATGCCCTGAGGAGCTGGGCACAGCAGATGGATGCAGAGCAAGGGGGGCACATCATACGGTCATCAGTCTGAGTCCATTGTAGGCTTTGCGGCAAAGCAGAGTTTGACAGGTGCATCTGGAGAGACCAATGAGGGGTTTTGTGGGACACATTAATGGCAAATGTGTCCCAAGCATGAGAAGCAGGATGGGAAAACACACAGACGTGTTGGTTTGAATATGGGATAGGAAGGTTGATATCACTGGAAGGGGAAGAGAAGATAGGGAGGGTGGGCCGGGCAGCGTGATTTATTACAGAGTCATGGAGGGGTTAACGCCGGGTGGGAAAAAGGTGCCTCATTGTTATTGAACCTAATAAATCTCTGCCGTGTGATGGAGCCCCCGGCTGTCCCTCCGTCTGGCTGTATCGAATTATGCACAGCGGCGTCGCAAACAGCCTAATGAAGAAACGAGCTGTATGAGATGTGCATGATGAATCCCCCTACTCCCCGCCAGCACCCTGGGCAAGGATACTTGCAGCACAGGCCAGAGCTGGGACGATTCCCAAAGTTTTCCTGCTGCAATTTTTGACGGGAGCAGTAACCACAGGAACAAGGGCAGCTCCACTGTCCTGCGGCAGAACTGAGCAATCGCTTTCTTTAGCTCCTTAGGTGGTAGCATATGTGTGAGGTTATAGCTGCAATGGCCCAGAAAATGTTCAGTATCTTCCATGTTATGGCCGCGTCAGAGTGATGCTGGAGTCTGAAGTCAGGTAGAAGGCAGGGTAGATTTGCTCCTTATAGACTAACCAAAGTAGGTGGAGATATATGTATATGTATATGTACATGCTCTCACTTGCAGCCTCCGGCATTGAAGGTGCAGCCAGGTCTGATGCAGAGGCCGTGCCCCTCGCACCCTGCTCCGTAGTGACCGGTGCCCCTTTCCTCCAAGCCCGTGTCCAGCCCCTTGGTGAATTTGGCTGAACTCTCAGCTCGCACCGCATCTGGTGGCCATGAGCCCCACGCTTTACTAACACCTTGGGTGGAAAAGAAACTGCCTGGTGTCACTTTTAAACTGATAGCCTGCTCATTTCATTTTGTGCCCCCTAGTTCTTGCATTGTGAGAGAGAGTAAGTAAATGATACATCCCTATTGACTTCCTTTTCACCATTCAGTAGTGTGTAAACTTTCTCATGTCCCAGCCCCAAGCATCTCTTTCTAAGTTGAATAAGCCTGGCTTCTTTAGTCTCTTCGTCTAGGGAAGCCCCTCCATGTCCCTCATCATCCTTGTTGCCTTTCTCCACACCTTCTCTATTTCTATAACATGTTTGACTTGTGGGCACCAGAGCTGGGCACAGAATTCAAGGTGTGGACGTACCATAGATTTGTACAGGGGCATCATAGTACTTTCAACCCTCTGTCCTCAATGTCGTCAGGATTACACTGGGCTGCGGGAAGCTCTGTGTTGTGTTCCCTTGGCAATAGCAAGGCTACTGAAGGACCAGATACCTTTCCAAAATGTAGGTTGTCATTGGGTGTTGGGCTATTATCACTGGGTGTTGGGCTATTATCACTGGGTGTTGGGCTATTATCATTGGGTGTTGGGTTATTATCACTGGGTGTTGGGTTATTATCATTGGGTGTTGGGTTATTATCACTGGGTGTTGGGCTATTATCACTGGGTGTTGGGTTATTATCACTGGGTGTTGGGCTATTATCATTGGGTATTGGGTTATTATCACTGGGTGTTGGACTATTATCATTGGGTGTTGGATTATTATCATTGGGTGTTGGGCTATTATCACTGGGTGTTGGGCTATTATCATTGGGTATTATCACTGGGTGTTGTGCTATTATCATTGGGTGTTGGATTATTATCACTGGGTGTTGGGTTATTATCACTGGGTGTTGGGCTATTATCACTGGGTGTTGGATTATTATCATTGGGTGTTGGCCTATTATCACTGGGTGTTGGGTTATCATTGGGTGTTGGGCTATTATCACTGGGTGTTGGATTATTATCATTGGGTGTTGGCCTATTATCACTGGGTGTTGGGTTATCATTGGGTGTTGGGCTATTATCACTGGGTGTTGGATTATTATCATTGGGTGTTGGCCTATTATCACTGGGTGTTGGGTTATCATTGGGTGTTGGGCTATTATCACTGGGTGTTGGATTATTATCATTGGGTGTTGGCCTATTATCACTGGGTGTTGGGTTATCATTGGGTGTTGGGCTATTATCACTGGGTGTTGGATTATTATCATTGGGTGTTGGCCTATTATCACTGGGTGTTGGGTTATCATTGGGTGTTGGGCTATTATCACTGGGTGTTGGATTATTATCATTGGGTGTTGGCCTATTATCACTGGGTGTTGGGTTATCATTGGGTGTTGGGCTATTATCACTGGGTGTTGGATTATTATCATTGGGTGTTGGCCTATTATCACTGGGTGTTGGGTTATCATTGGGTGTTGGGCTATTATCACTGGGTGTTGGATTATTATCATTGGGTGTTGGCCTATTATCACTGGGTGTTGGGTTATCATTGGGTGTTGGGCTATTATCACTGGGTGTTGGATTATTATCATTGGGTGTTGGCCTATTATCACTGGGTGTTGGGTTATCATTGGGTGTTGGGCTATTATCACTGGGTGTTGGATTATTATCATTGGGTGTTGGCCTATTATCACTGGGTGTTGGGTTATCATTGGGTGTTGGGCTATTATCACTGGGTGTTGGATTATTATCATTGGGTGTTGGCCTATTATCACTGGGTGTTGGGTTATCATTGGGTGTTGGGCTATTATCACTGGGTGTTGGATTATTATCATTGGGTGTTGGCCTATTATCACTGGGTGTTGGGTTATCATTGGGTGTTGGGCTATTATCACTGGGTGTTGGATTATTATCATTGGGTGTTGGCCTATTATCACTGGGTGTTGGGTTATCATTGGGTGTTGGGCTATTATCACTGGGTGTTGGATTATTATCATTGGGTGTTGGCCTATTATCACTGGGTGTTGGGTTATCATTGGGTGTTGGGCTATTATCACTGGGTGTTGGATTATTATCATTGGGTGTTGGCCTATTATCACTGGGTGTTGGGTTATCATTGGGTGTTGGGCTATTATCACTGGGTGTTGGATTATTATCATTGGGTGTTGGCCTATTATCACTGGGTGTTGGGTTATCATTGGGTGTTGGGCTATTATCACTGGGTGTTGGATTATTATCATTGGGTGTTGGCCTATTATCACTGGGTGTTGGGTTATCATTGGGTGTTGGGCTATTATCACTGGGTGTTGGATTATTATCATTGGGTGTTGGCCTATTATCACTGGGTGTTGGGTTATCATTGGGTGTTGGGCTATTATCACTGGGTGTTGGATTATTATCATTGGGTGTTGGCCTATTATCACTGGGTGTTGGGTTATCATTGGGTGTTGGGCTATTATCACTGGGTGTTGGATTATTATCATTGGGTGTTGGCCTATTATCACTGGGTGTTGGGTTATCATTGGGTGTTGGGCTATTATCACTGGGTGTTGGGCTATTATCATTGGGTGTTGGGTTAAGATGAGTAGAAGGCACCTCTAAGTCATAGGGTAGGTTTGCACCTCTACATCACAAGTGTGTAACGTTCGCTTTTGGAACAAGAGGGCTCACATGGTCGGATGCCACTGTGCAGGCACATGTGATGCCTTTAATATGACCCAATTGTGACCAAGAGAAAAGTAAAAAAGACAGGCCCTCCAGCATGGTCCTGGGAGACACCATCCATGTGGGAACAGCTCACGAGGCTCCCAGAAACCCGGTGCTCTGTCCTGCTCGTAACACTGCTTCTGTCTTTCCCTCCCCACCAAGAATGAGGAGAAGAACAGCCGAAACTCCACCGTGGAGCAGCGGGTCCAGGATCTGGAGCAGCTCTACAATGAGGCGAGCACCCTGCAGCACATCCAAGCCACCTTGCTGTATGACATGCAGACCCAGATCCACAACATCTCCCTGATGACCGAGTGGGCCCGGCACAACCCGGGCTGCCTCTTCCCTGCTGAAATGAGGTCCCAGCAGGAGGGGCACCACCAAGCAGGTAAGCAGAAGCATTGGGTGGACTGAGCTGGGTGGAGAAGATGTCAGTCCTGGTGCCTGGGGGATGACTTCCCATTTGTCTGCCTTAGGGTCTTGTCTTTGTGCTAGGGTCTTGTTTCGTGCTCCTGTTCTTCAAGAGACTCGGGCTTCTTGTCCCCAGTGATTTGCTTAAAAGCTTAAAAGCTCCTCTGGTAGCTAGAAACCATTCTCCAGTTTCCAATGTAAATGCAAGGACTGTAGGACTGGCATTGTAGATCTGATATAGATGCTGAGGTGGTGTATGAGTACTAAGTCCATTCTCGCACTCAGGTTTCATGTGTTGGCCTAAGGCTGTCATGTTCAGGGATGTAGGTATGGCTGGGGAGTGTGTCTGCCTCCAAAATGAATTCAATTGAGATACTAGGGTGAGAAGGGAGAAGCTTGAGCCACACGCTCAAGGGTACCTGGAGCAGGGATTTTTGCTCTGGTCCATCACCTAGCTAGGGGCCAGTTGAAAACTTCAGAGTTGAGTATGAACTGGCCCAAAAGTGATGTCTGAAGGCAGGGCTTGAGTGGGACACACATCTGCTCACAGATCACCACATTTCATGAACACTAGTCTCAAGGAGGAGACGCTGTGTCCCTTGCCAACAACCCACCTTTTCTTCCTGGCAAGGAAGGTGCTTTCTGGCATGGTGCAGAGTTGTGTGTGTGCATGTGTGTGTGTGTGTGTGTGCGCATGGGGTGAAGATCAAGATCATGATGCCTACAGCAGGACACAAGGAAGGCTTGGTACACCCTGTCACCTCGCCTCTACGTGACAATTACTTCTGCTGCCAACCTGCCACTTATCATGCAATTTGTTTCCCTTTCTTTTTACAAAGCTTCCCATGAAAGAAGTTTGTTTCTGTTGGGGGGGGGGGGGGGCCGGGGAATCTGCTCCCTCCTTCCCCCCCCACCCCCCCCAAAAAAAATTAATAAAAAAACAAGCTTTGACAAAAATATTCGATTTATGAAAACCAAAACCCAGTTATATTTCAACAAACACGGATTTTTCTTGATTACTGAAATCTGATTTTTTAAATGAAAAAATATTGGCTTCTGGAGTTTTCCTTTCATAGAAAAAGGGGGAGATTTCAACTAAAAGGGAGTATTTTCCTGGTGATTAAAACCCATGTTTCATTGCAGAGCTGCTTGCAATTAAGCCGCTTTTGCAGGCTCTTCCCCACAGCTCTGACTTTTTGACAGCAGAAGGGAGTCCAGTTGTAACCTCCTCAGTAACGTTGAAGGGATGGTGTTATTCTCTAGAATCACAGAATCACGGGCAGGGAGGGTTGGAGGGAGCTCAGGAGGTCACATCTCATCCAACCCCCTGCTCCAAGCAGGACCAGCCCCAACTACATCATCCCAAACTAGCATTTGTCTACACAGGTCTTCAAAACCTCCAAGGATGGAGGATGGAGAGTCCACCACCTCTCTGGGGAGCCTGGTCCAGTGCTTTACTGAGGGGGGATATTTATCTAGGACCAGCCAGGTTGATCCCAATGACTTATTCTCCACGTGCCGCTGAGTAGACCTAAGCTGTTAATGCCAGTCACCTGCCAGCTGGGGTCTGATTTGAACCAGTGACGTAGGGTAGCAAGGCACACTAGTCTGCTCCCAATCTGCTAAACCAGCTAATCTAAGCACTTCCTGTCGTGCTGATTTGAAATGGGAATGAAGCCAGCTCCCTTGATCTTAAATACTCCAGCGAAGAGATGGCATATGCAGCTAGCCTGGTTAGGTGTGCTGAAACCATGGACCAAGAGCAAAGAGCAGAAGCAAATAAGAGGATTGGTGCCAGGAGTAATATCCCCATGGATCATGGATCTTGATTGTCTTCCCGGTGACCCTTCCTTAATATCCTGTTCTTCTGGAGGTTCCTTCCAGCCCTCCCGTTCCTTTTTAGAAACAGCACTGGGGTATCGACCCAGGAGCAGTCCAATGGTGTTGTGATACCGGCCCCCCGATTACCATTGCTCGACTTTGTCCCTGCTCCTTGCAGTTAATGGGAGACCCGCAAGCCAATGAACCTTCAGGCTTGGAAAGCTCAAGTCTCTTCCCAGTCGGTGCTTCCTTCCTACGTCCTACATCCATTGCCTGCCATTGTTCATCTTTTCCACTTGCTTCATGGAACAGAAAAGAAAAACCCACCTGACTCTTTATAACCCCATCAATCCCCAAGACCTGGCAATACTGCCAGGTTGGGATTCAGGTCAGGAGGGGCTTGTGCTGGGATAGTGGTATGGATAAGAGGAAGTGATCTCTGACTGTGTGAGTTATTCTTAGATCTCTCTCTTGCTACCTCGCTCCTTCTTTCTCTGCATTCAGCTGTCTAGAGAGTCATGGGGACCTGTTGCCATTGGGGATGTCAATGCCTCCAGCTTGGGGCAAGTCCGAGACTTTGCCCCCACTAATCCAAGCTTGCCTTCCCATGGCAGCCAGTTTGAAGCACAAGCATTGGTGGACTGATTCCTAGAAAAACAGGAAAAGGTGACTCAAACGGAGCCCTTCTAGGAATTGCACTCACTACTAATTTCACCTGCCCCGGCTCTGACTGTGTAGTTTTGCTAAGAGGTTGGACGATGGATTTGTATAGGATAGTTTGAGTAGGGATGCTCCTGTCTCAGGCGGGGGGTTGCACTAGATGTGACCTCTGGAGCTCCCTTCCAGCCCCACTCTCTATAATTATATGATAATTATATGATTATATAATTATATGATTCTAATTACAGCTGGGAGAGACACGAAGTAGGGTGCAGAAGGGTTGGTGGCAAACTTGCACTGTGTAGCACTGAGATGAACTGTGGGCACACTGGGCACGTCTACGTGTGCACATGTATTGCACAGTGACTGAAATTACTGCACAGTATGGGCGCATGTCTACACATGCGCACCTGTACTGCGCAGTAAATATGGCGACTTATGATGCCTAACTTTAGTCCCAATTCAGTCCACACACAGCGTTAATGCGCCTTAATGCCTGCATGTGTAGATGCTGGCCTATTCCTGCTTACTACACAGTAAATTTAAGCCGGCATAAATGCACATGTAGACACACCTATTGTGTAGGGGAGCAGGCTTCAGGGAACCAGGCTATTTTAATGGAGAAGGACTAGAAAGCAGGCCTGGCTGTGGATCTCATAGCACACCCACCAGATCATCCCTGTAGGCCGTTACTTGGTTTTCACACAGTATTTCCTCAGGCAAACACTTTGTGACTTTAGTAGGAGGCTTGGTGGAACAAGGAATGTAGGGTTGGCTATCACCCATATACCTTTATATAAGGTGCACTGAAGGTGAATGTAGGTGCATTATAGGAGGTTTTTCACCATTCTCTGAAGTATCCAGCACTGGCTGCTGTTGGGGATGAGATGCAAGCCTCAACGTGTCAGTCTTTACAGTCCTTGCTGGAGTGGGAGAACCCAGCAGAGCCTGGCTTTGGCACAACTCAGAATATTTTTTGCTCTTAACTTAAGCCAGTGCTTTGCAATGGAAATAAAAATGCAAAAAATCCCAAACCAGTACCAAACCACTCTGTGTAAATGGTGGCCTGGGCTCATGGAGAGGGGCCTGAGTAATGAAGGTTGCATCCAGAAGCGACTCCAAATCACCGTGGTCTTTTCTGAGTCCTCACAGAGAGTGATCTCCCGCCCACCGGACTGAATCAGGATGCAGATTTGGACTCAAACTTTCTCAAAGAATGGCAGAGTTTGAAATCCGGGGCTCTGCCTCAACCTCATTTCTCTGTGCTTCCTGGAAGCAGTAAGGTTTTGTCTGTAAAAGGCACTTTTATCTATCGTCTGCGATAGCCTAGCAGAACAAAGTAAATGCAAGAGGCAATCCCTTCATCCACGAAGAATTCCTGAACTTGTATTTTGCTGGAGTAATACAAAATGTGAGCCTAAGCTCAGACGGTCTTGGTGGTGGCAGATGGCAGGACAAGGAGCAATGGGCTCAAGCTGCAGCAAGGCAAGTTGAGGTTGGATATTAGGAAAAACTGTCTCACGCGGAGGGCGGTGAAGCACTGGAACAAGCTCCCCAGAGAGGTGCTGGACTCTCCATCCTCAGAGGTTTTTAAGGCTCCACAAAGCCTTGGATGATGTAGTTGGGGCTGGTCCTGCTTGGAGCAGGGGTTGGACTTGATGTGACCTCCTGAGCTCCCTTCAACCCTCATTTTCTGTGATTCTAAGTATTAGGACTCCCACCTTTTGGATGAGGTCTAACTTCAGCTGCACAAAGCTGCACAAAGCTTTCTTCTTTATAGACTAGACCAGGGTGGCCAACGTCTGCGTGTAGCACATAGCATATTGGGGAAGGAACAGAAAGCAGAGCAGCAGAAGAGGCAAGGGAAGGGGATGAGAGGGGCGCTCAGGGAAGGCGTGGGGGTTATTTTGTGGCACAGCTACCGAAAACGATTGGCCCCCAGCACGCTAGATATTAAACGATGCTTCTCTGTTTTCTCTGTAGAGGTGCAGCACACCCGGAGCTGCCCCACTGACTGTGCTTCCATTTACTACAGCGGGATCAGGCGATCTGGCGTCTACAGCATCATGCCTTCAGTCGGACGGATGCCCTTAGAAGTGCTATGCGAGATGGACACAGAAGGTAGAGTAAGAGGCCCAACTATTTTCCTCCAAGGCAGCAGGTCTTGAAACCTAACAGGCTGTGGCCGGGGCGAGGGGTCACCTCACGCTGCTGCGTATTTGGGCTGTGTGCATGGAGCATGAATCCCAAACCACATGGTCCCTAGGTGGAAGTTTCTTGGCGAAGATGAAGCTTTGGGAGATAGCAGTCAAGTAGCTTGCAGAGACATCAGCTGCATCTTTTCATCAAGCTACAGGCAGGGAAAGCTCATATTCCTAGCCCCAAGCAATGAGGGGTCCTCCAGTTGGCACGTCCTGTGCAAGAGGAAAACCTGGTGTTTGTGTCGAGGAGCCGATCCCTGATAAAAGAGCATAAAGCCGGGCAGGTTCACCCAGTGTGGACTGGGAGGGAGGCCTGTTGAAAGAGTCTTTTGATTCTTCTCTTTTGGAGACTTTTTGATTGAACTTGCAGGGATAGGGCTGGGGTTGTCTGGAAGAGACCAATCCTCCGGGCATGCACTCTGCTGCATTGCTGCTATTGTAATTAGTAATGGCAAAATTATTTGTATTGACTCAGCACCCAGAAGCCCCAGGCATGGATTAGGTCTCCAGGGGGCTGGATACAGGACAAGCCCAGAGCACAGATGTGTAATCACAGACAATGAGGGTTGCAGGGAGCTCAGGAGGTGACATCTAGTCCAACCCCCTGCTCCAAGCAGGACCAGCCCCAACTACATCATCCCAGCCAAGGCTTTGTCTACTCAGGTCCTCAAAACCTTCAAGGATGGAGATACCACAACCCCTCTAGGTAACCCGTTCCAGTGCTTCACCATCCTCCTAGTGAGAAAGTTTTTCCTAATATCCAACTTCAACCTCCCTTGCTGCAACTCGAGCCCATTGCTCCTTGTTCTGTCCTACTGAGAAGAGTCCAGCTCCATCCTTTTCTGTATCCGCCCTTCAGGGAGTTGGGGACACAACCCTTGCTCCCCAGAGCTTGCAGCCTAGGGGGAGAGAGAGCAACCTGGGAGCACAAGGGTGGCAATGAGAGGCAGTGGTCTCATGAGTATTTCTGGGACTAAGGAAACAGCCTGTAATCAGGGCTGACCCTGCCTCAAGAAGGGGGGTTGGACTAGATGTGACCTCTGGAGATCCCTTCCAGCCCCACTGCTCTAGGATTTCTACGATTCCCTGGAGTCAGAGGATTGCAGGGCTCATCCATCCTCTACGGATGCAGGATTCACCGTAGAGGTAACACCGATCCAGTTCCTTCCCACCACACTGCTTGCACTACCACCATTGGCTTGGTTGGTCCACTCACCTTCGTCTCGCCCGTGGCAGGTGGGGGTTGGACCATCATCCAGCGCCGGCAGGATGGCTCAGTTAATTTTAACCGGACCTGGAACGAGTACCGGGATGGCTTCGGGGACCTGAACGGCGAGTTCTGGCTGGGCAACGCGAACATCCACCGCATGACGAGCCAGGGGGACTACTCGCTGCGCATCGACATGGAGGACTGGAGCAGCAAACACAAGCACGCCTTCTACCAGGTCTTCAGGTAGGCAGCTCCGGGACCTTCCTCTCAGCCTTATTACAGACTGGGAGCCTGATCTGGTAAGGATCCGCGTGGCCCTTGGGAAGGAAAGGTCTCTATCCCCCAGCTGGGATAAAGGGAGCTTACTATGTCAGACAGGGCCCTGGAATAAGGAGAAAGCATGTCTGTCTCTTCTCAAGAGCATCGCTTCGTTGGAAAGCCAAGCATGCGTGTGACTAGCATTCAGACCAGGCATGGAAATGCAAAGTGTGTGTGCAACATGCATGCGTGTACAACCTCCTTGGGTCCATGTTAATGAAAGGGGTTGATCATAAAGACCCTTTCCCCAGCTAAGTGAAAAAATTATGATACTTATCAACTATTTAACTAGGATGGCTTCTGATATTATCAGGCAGGTTTCTACGCTTGACACAGTGCTCTGCCTTATGGTAAGGGTTTTCAATTGCTTCCTTCATGTGACTATAGGCAAACACCTAAACCAGGGCTGCCTTGTTTGCACGAGCAAAAACATGCAATCTGGCCTTGCAAACCTGTCTCTACAAAGTCCCTTCTTAATGGAGGATGTCTACAATGTGGAGGCACTTATACCAAGGCCTCTAATGTGTGCCTTACACTTGTACGTGGCACTCCTGCTGACATCAGTGTGAAGTATGGGTTTGTGGGAAGGCAGATGGGGCTTGGCCCAGGAGATGGGGAGATTTCCTTGAATTCCAGTATAAGGTGGCAGCTCTACATGCCAGATATGTTCTGGCAGTAATGAAAACTGGGCCCGAGGAGTCCTCAGGAGCTGACCCAGCCTGCCTCTATCTCTTGCAGCATTGAGGACGAGGTAAACTACTACCGCCTGCACGTGGACGGGTTCAGTGGGACGGTGGAGGACTCCTTCGCCTGGTACCACAATAAAAGGAGCTTCAGCACCCCCGACTCTGGGAACATCTGTGCAGAGATTTCCCATGGAGGGTGGTGGTATCACCAGTGCTTCTTCTCCAACCTCAATGGAGTGTACTACAAGGTAAGACCACAGAGCTGTAATAACAGCCCTCTTGGACTTGTTTGGGCTCGGATCATAAGGCATCTAACCTCATGGCTTCGAGACACCTGGGAAGATAGAGGCGAGAATAGCACTGCATATCGTTATTAGGGTAAGGTACACAGCTACCTGATCTACCACTTATGATGCCTCTCCTGCCCTCTTCTCGCCTCCCAGCCATCATTTTGCTTGACTGAACAAGGCAAGTTTTTTAGTCTTCTTCCTTTATGACATGTTCTCCAGTCCCTTGATCATCCCAGTCACCCTTCTCTGTAGTGGTTCAAGGCTGAACGTGATCTGTCTGGGGCTGGTCCTGCTTTGTGCAGGGGGTTGGCCTAGCTCAGTGCTTGTGACCCAAAAGTGGGTTGCAAGAATATTTGGAAGGGTTGCAAGCAAGTCCCAGGAAAACATGGGAAAGCATGGGTTTCCCCTTGCAGGCTGGCAGCCTTCCAGCCTTCAAGGAGCTGCTTGGGGAGATTGGAGGCAGCAGGCGCATGTGTGACTCCGCGTGCACATGCACGTGGCCGACATGCAATCAGGCAGGCAGGTGGGAGCATGGATGCAGGTAAGTGTATGGGGGGAGCAGGGACTGGAGGGCCGGGGCTTGGGGGCTGTGTATGTGCGTGCATGTGTGCGGATGGGATGGGTGCATGGGAGGGCTGGGCACTGTAACTGAATTAGGGCAGAGGGCATGGGGGTTGGGGGTTGGGGGAAGGTCCTTTGGGGTGGGGGGGAGCTGCGTGGCTGGGCTGGCAGCACCGGGGATGGTGCCCGTACTCACAGGGATGGGGGAGACGCTGCTCAGGGGGCAGGTGGGGCCAGCACCTGGCTGTCTGGTGTGGCAAGGGAGCCCTAGCCCAGGGCAGGGGGATGCTACAGGCCTCCCCTCTTCCTTCCCCTAGCCTGTGCCAGGGCAAGACTCATGCTGCTACCACCGCGCTCTGGCCTGAGTGGGATGGGGGCAGCTGGGGCCCCTCCGGGTGGGGGTAGGGGGCTGTAGCTTGGGAGTAAGGGGCAACAGCAGGGCCAGGGGAATGTGGGTTAGGAGTAAGGGGCACTGACAGAGTCAAGGGGATGTGGGTCGGGAGTGAGGGGCACTGGCAGGGCCAGGGGGCTGTGGATTGGGACTGGCCCTCGATGTTTACAAATGGGTCCTGGTACAAAAAAAGTTGAGAACCACTGCACTAACCCGCTTAATGCACATTAAATTTAGGCATGCTTAAATGCACGTGTAGACCTGCTCTAAAAGATTGGTTGCTGCTGAAAAGAGCAGAGCTGGAGGAAAGTCGGACAGGAGAGGTTTAACGGGAGATGCTGTCATTACCACGCTGAGATGTCATCTTGAGGCAAATCTTGAGTGTTTGTCTCCTATTCTTTCTCTAGAGCCAGGGAGGAGACGAGAGACAGGGGAGCGCTGAGGGGGCATGAATGAGTGTTTGGGCTGCATGAGTGGGGCAGAGGCCAGTGCCTTGGGTCCATGGGGCAGGAGACATGGCAAGCAGGACCAGCCCCAACTGGTTTTTGGGGTCAGAGGTGGTTTATAATGGCTGTGAGTAGAGAGGCCCTTGTGACTTAGCTTGCAGTCACATCTGGGAGGCTGGATCTGCGAGCACTGGGTTTTGGAGGAATTAAAGGTATCTCTCCTTGGACTTTTGGCTTAGATCCAGGGTAGACCTGATCGTATCAGCTGTAAAATCTGATATGTCCTCCATGAGAGGGTTGTGTGTTGAGCAGATTTTTGGTCTTGGGAGGTGGAGTTGGAGCTTGCTCTGTCCCCTCCATGCATTGGCCTGGTATTGCAGCGCTTCCAGGAGTGGTGCACCCACCTCAGGGAACATGTGGTGGTATCCAAGCTAGACTTTACAGTTGTTTCTAGAGATGCCTGGTGGTTGAAACGGTGTGGCATGGGAGGCCTTAGGATGCCAGAAGTCTTTGGAGTTGTTGGTTGTAGCATAAACACCAGCAGACTCTCCCTATGCCTGAAAAGGGTGTTTGTGCCCGAAAGCTTGCAAAGAACAATTTTTCCAACTATTTAGTTGGTCTAATAAAAGATATCACATCTATCCAAAGAAGTCTTTGGATGTTGTTGTCATAGACTCATAGAAAATGAAGGCTAGAAAGGACCTCAGGAGGTCTAGTGCAACGTTTCCCAGCCCCTGGGGTGCGACCCAAAAGCAGGTTGCAAGAATATATGAAAGGGCTGTGAACAAGCTTTAAAAATGGATCCTCCTTTACAAAAGAAAAACATGGGAAATCCTAGTGTTTCAGCCTGAGGGGCTGCTTGGGGCCCCCATTCCCCACCCCGTCCCATGCACCCACCCCCTACACCACACACTGGGGGGCTCAGGCCTGGGGGCAGAGGGCAGCAGGTCGGGAGTGAGGGGCAGTGAGTCGGGACTGGCCATTGATGTTTACAAATGGGTCCCGGTACAAAAAAGGTTGAGAACCGCTGGCCTAGATGACCTCGCGAGGTCCCTTCCAACCCTCATTTTCTATGACTCTATGAACACGGGTGGCCAGAACTGGACGTGGACTTCTGCATGTGGTCTCAAAGTGCCTTGTATGATGTTATTCAGGACTCCCTGTCCCTACTGGAAAGACCATGGCAGACTGTGCCAATTAGGTACTCTAGGATGAAGCTAGCTATGGGAATGGGCATATGATACGGTCTCCATAGTCACTTTTCCATGTAGTGCCATCAGTACCCATATTTCACGGGGTGACTTTACCTTGGATTCAGGACATTTACTCCTGAATGGATGTGTGTATCATGGGTCCGCTCCACTTTTGCTACAGGGTGATGACAATTCACTACATAACCAATGCAGCATGTGTCTGCATCCTTAAGTGGGAAGGTTTCATCAATATTTGGCAGAGAAGCTCAAAGGGGAATAAGTGATTTGCCCCTAACCACATGGGATTTTTTTGGTAGAGCTTGGAAAGCAGTTCAAGTTTCAAGAGTTGTAGCCTCATGAGTTAACCACAAGGCCAGCCTTTCCCTGAGCTACCACACATTGGGTACATCTATACGTGCGCCTTAATGCAACATGAGTCTATTTTAATGCATATTAAAGCATCACTAAAAAAGTGCTTAGTTAATGCGCATTAAGACAGGCTCATGCACATTTTCCTAGTACCTCACAATGGAGGTACTAGATATAATGTGCATTAACTAAAGCACATTAATGCACATGTAGACATGCCCACTGTATGAGCAAGAACGGTACTAGATATAATGCGCATTAACTAAAGCACATCAATGAGCATGTAGACGTGCCCACTGTGTGAGCAAGAGCAGCTGGAAAGGGCATAGACCAGGGACCTGGAATCTACTCTTGGATGAAATAGTCTCTGCCAGCTGGAGGGGAGAGAAATCCTGAGCCAGTTTGGTGTACGCTCACGTTATCTCACGCTGGGCATGTCTACACATTCATTAATGCGCAGTAGTTACTGCACATTTAGTTTAGTACTTGCTTCCAGTGCTTTGGAGGGGTTAGCTTTAATTGGCAGCCAGCTCTCAGACTGCCCTGTGCCTCACTGTGCCCGTCTCTTCCTCACAGGGGGGCAGATACTATATGAAAAACCGCAAGATCCTGGGGCCCGACGGGGTCGTGTGGTACACCTGGAAAGACACGGATTACTACTCCCTGAAGAAGGTCACCATGATGATCCGGCCTCGCACTTTCCGGCCACACTTCTCCCCATGAGGAACCCGGGAGGTTTCTCTTCTCTCCTGATTACATGCTTTGGGAAGGGAGAAATGCAAAGGGCTTCGAGAGACCAGTGGATGCCAGAGACCAGTGTGGACCCAACACATCACTCTGCCCTGCCTGCTTCTGCCTTCGGGGCAGTGAGAAGAGAATAAAGACACCAGCGACAACACCGAAAGCAAAGGCCTTTCACATGTGGTTCAGCCCCTGAAGTACCACAGCCGTAGGGGCTGGTCCCTGGTCAGTTGGCCCCTGAGAGGAGGCCAAAGACAGTAGCTCGTGGTCTGGGAGGACTCCCACCTTTGGGGGAAATAGTGACGCTTCTTTTGTGTGATGATGTGACTTGAGGACCCTCATCGCTGACGGGTGCTGGATGTGGGGGGGGGCCGGGCTGGCTCACATGCCATGTCATCATTCAGCACATACAGCTAGCAGAGACACCTTGCCCACGGTTAAGACTTTTCAATGGGATCTGCTGGGTTCGGTACCAAGACAGTCCTCTGTGCTCGGCATCCACTCTCCTAACAGAGGCGTGAGTGTGCGTGATGCTGAGGGTTCATCATTCACCCTATGGAAATGTGTCACACAGTACACACATGGGCCGTAACACATAACACATGCACAAGTGCTTTCAACCCCTGGGGGAAGCTGCCCCTGCCGTCCCATGGTACGGTTCGGTTTCCAGCTGTGGTTTATTTGTGCAGAGAGGCACATGGCCTGGACGAGCTGGATGCTTCGGTGTTGCCCCTCCATCTCATAATGTCATCACGATTCACACACGGACATTACATCACCGAGTTCGCTCAGAGCCGGGAGAATTGTTGCCCTACCAATAAAATGAATCTTGAAAGGAGTCCAGGGGTGGCCTTGTCATTACTGGCTGCTTCTGTCATTGGGGAGGGAACATTTAGAAAGACTTTTATTGAGCCTTGAGATGCCTTGCTGAGTTCAGGTCCTTTCTCCCTAGCTTATCATGGAGAAAAAAGGGTCATATGTTGGGTTTTTTTAACTCCTTTTACTCTTTTATTTCAATATCAGTGGCATACTCTTGGCTCTTCCACAATTTTGTCGGCTGTATCATTGGAGATTTCACAAATGTGGGCTGGGACTAATGTGTAGTCCTCATTGGGTCCGGTTACAAGTCTTTAACCAAGAAATCACTTTCTTTTCCATGTATTTTAAGTAATACGTGGTTTTGCCATAAACTGGAAGATACATTTCTGGTGTGCATGCTCTGGCTCAGTTGTAGACACCTGGATTTTACCATGTCCTGGGGCACATCGCTCACTTGAAAGCCGTTTGCTGGTGCTACTGCACAATCACTCTGGTCACTGCACATTTGTTTCGTACTTGCTTAGACACGTGCTAAATAAATGCACAGTAATCGCTGAGCAGGAGCGTCTCGTGTAGACGTGCCCCTTGTAGTTTTATGTAGAGTCTGGATGATGGGTTGGTCCGGGCTGGTTTGGATAGGGATGCTCCTGCCTCAGGCAGAGGGCTGGACTAGATGTGACCTCTGCAGCTCCCTCCCAGGCCCATTTCTCTGTGACTCCCCCATGACTCCTATGACCTGCGGAGTTGACTTGATGAGTGGATGATCCAGCTGCAGTTGATGCTACAAGACTGGGCTTTCACTGCCAGGGAGAACAGGCTGAAGGATGAGACCTTCATGGGTCTGCAAGAAGTGCAAGAAACAATGATGAGCAGAGGAGGACCTCACATTAGTCTAGCCGGAGCACGGGGCAGCCAAAAGCCCAGATGAAAGTCCTCATTAGCACAACGTGCGTGTGATAAAACTGTGTGACAACCAGCAAGCAGACACGTATGCACACGCGCACACATGCAAACAAGCCCCGCAGCAGTTGACTTTGCCTGTGAAGACCGAGGTGAAAATGGCACTGAGCACTTCAGCCGTTTCTGCATCCTCTGTTACTAGGTTGCCTCTCCCCATTCAGGAAGGGACCCACACTTTCCTGGATCCTCCTCTTGCTACCAACGTACTTGTAGAAACCCTTCTTGTTCCCTTCACGTCCCTTGCTAGCTGCAACTCAACATGCACTTTGTCCTTCCTGATTCACCCCTGCATGCCCGAGCAATGCTCGGACGCAGCAGCAGACCCTAAGCATTCATTGTGCATGCTCTCATGACACCCAGCGGGCACCAGCAAGCCGTGCCCTGGCAAAGTAGGACCCCTCAGCACCCCAGTAGTGCAGGGGGGCAGGTGTGAGCGCATAGAGGACCCCACATCCCAGTGCAGATGGGGTAACAGACTGGATGTGCCCAGAGGAGCCCAGACTGTGCCCTGAGCTGGGTTAGGAGGATGCTGGAGACAAGGACCCAGTCGGGCTGAGCCTCTGGCTGCTGCGGGGGGATGCACTGTGCAAGCCGGGGCAGGTTGGGAGTGAGGGGCACCGGCAGGGCTGGGGGTGCCGAGGGGGCTGCAGGGCTGGGGATGCAGAGGAGGTAGGGCTCTGCCATTCTCCAATGTTTTCTTGTCTTCCTTTAAAACCCCTTTGCATGTGAGATGCCCATTGCTGTGATAAAAAGAAGTGGGCTAGGCATAGGGCGAACAGAAAACCCATTTTCCTTTCCAGAGACTCTCTAATACAGGGATCTTGCTTTTACTGGGTTAATTTGCTTTTCCAGTGCTCTTGTTTCCCTTCATTTCCCACGGGGGATTTCCTTAGGGAAGGGGTCCAGTGCTTTTATTTAGCTCAACAAAGACCACATGGACCATTTCTACATTCTGGGATTTCACATGCTAATAAATGTGTCTGCTTCTGCCTTCTTTTTCCACATCCCTGCCTTCAAGGGAACTGTATTTTCAGCCCTGCAGTACTTGCCAACCTGTGCACTCATCTCCCCTGCTGGGATGATGCTCCCCTTGGATGGGATGTTGCTTTAGTTGCAAGCACAGTAATAAAGTCATCATTTCCTGTGCCCTGGTGATGAATGACCCTCTCTTCCCCAAAAATGTGTCATCAACACCCGTAGATCTGGATTCTTTTCACTGCCCCAAGTCCTTGCATTAAACCTGCAGTGAGAACAGGCTCATTTCTATTCTTGGCCTGGATTTACACTGGTAAGTGGGAGTGTTATCCATGCAGAAGTGTGTCCACAGTCTCAGGTTTGGTACCTTGAAAATAATAAGAGCTTCATCTTTCTGCCTTGTGGTACATCACAGATCACTGCATCTCCACCCTGTCCCTGGTGACTGTTAGTTGTATACCCCTTTATACTTCCAAGTGGTTGGTGCTTTGTTTCCTAGGACCATCCCTCCACTACCCGGGTGACACGGACCATCATGTATTGAAGGCTTCTCCCTGCAGTGCCTTCCCTTTCACACTAAATGTCCACCTTCCCTTTTCCTCCAAGGCCCCAGGAGAATCCATGACTTGATTGCATCCCACTTGGTTATGCTGCATGCAGTGCTCAGTCACAAACCCTCTTTAATATCTGCCCCAAACAGGATACCGAGGTCCCACCCCTGACTTAATCCACCATCTCCACCGAGGCCAGGGGGAGCTCGGGGGCTGTGCTGAGCAGCAGAGAGGGGAAATCTCACGGCGGGAGGACCTGGCTGCAGGTGAGTTGTCTCTACCCCGTCCCCTGCCTCCCCTCTCAGAAGTGCTCCTTGCCCCGAGTGACGGGGGTTGGAAACAGCAGAGCTGCCCGGTGCTGCCCTTGCAGGGGCTGACCCCAAGTAGCTTATGCTGGACGTGTGCAGGTGGGTGTTGAAATGCAAAGCTTGCGAGACAAGCAAGTGCCCCTCTCTGCTCCCCCTTGGTAGAGCTGTTCGGGGACATGTGAGTTTGCTGTCTTGATCTTTAGGCACAGATCTGGTTTCCCTGGGGTACCAGGACCTTCGATTTCCATCCTCACTCAGCGGTGTAAGAGTTGATTGCCCAGCCCAAGGTACATCCCCCTCTCCCAGGGCATGCTGGGAGTTGCAGTCCCCCATGGAAATCAGCATGTTTAGCAGAAGCGCTATGCATCTGTTATTGCCGGATGGGGGAGAGGCTGGTGGGGCTGTCCCTGGTTCCTCCAGGTCAGGTTGACTGGGAATGCTGGAAGTGTTTAATCCTGGCCGCAGGCTACATGAGATGGCTCCATGGGGTGGGTGGGATTTCCAATCTTTGGGCCTCTGAGTGTCACAGGGCCTGAGACTCAGCACACAGTCCACGTGCAGTGATGCCAGGGCCTTTGTCCCAGTGCAGACTCCAGTGACGTGGAGACCACCTGGGACCTGTCTGCAGAGGACCCCTCCATGGGCTCATTCCCTGCCCTGAACCTTTCCCTGCAAGCAGGCACGAAGCACAGCCCTGCTGCTTTCCCAAGAGAGAGACACCGCTCTAAGTCCTCCCCTCCCAGAACATTTCTTGGAGAGATGAAAAGTGAAACCCGTTGGCTTTTCCTACAAAACAGAAGCAGCCCTCGTGTGAAGCACAGAGGCAGGTGGGCCAGTGCAAGCCCGGGCTCCCCCCCCCCGC